ATGTTATAGAACTTTGTTCGTGAAAAGTTGAGAAAAGCTAGTATTTAATAAAACCAATATTCTCTGATTCTTGAAAATAGAGAATATTTTCTACATGAAACAAAATTTTAAATTTTAAAAAGACTAACTAAATATTAAAAATAAAAAAAAATATTACAGTATTGTGAAAATTTTATCTTTACTGCTGTAATAGCAATATTTGTCTGCAAAGGATTAATGAAATGATTCTTACATTTTATAGTAAAAATATAATAATTCATTAATTGAAGTTCATTAAAAATATAGATAATAGGATATAAGATAAAATTCGATTTGTCAGAATATTTCTTTCGTAGATCTGTTGTAAAGCAAAAGAATTTCGAGAAATTCGCTGCTTTTTACGGATTTAGATTGTTCCTATCCACGGTTGTACCGACATCTACATGTAATAATAGACATAATGAGTAGTGTTTATTTGGCGAAACGCCATACAGCCGGAATTTGCATTCTCGCCACCCCGACTGGACTGGCCAATATTTACAAGTACACAACTGGCCGTATACAAATCATATAATTAATTGACAATGTTTTCTCTTCCAAATTTCCGCGTTCGCTCGACACCCGAGCGATTATTTATCGCGTCTCGAAATGAAAACGAAACGATACCAAAGGCAACATTATCGTGTCCCGTTATGTAACTCGATGCTCGAGTCTTCTACGTCTCTTACTTTGCCTTTTCTTTTTCCTCTTCTTTCCTTCTTTTTTCAATTTTACACTCGTTGGTAGAAGTTGAAGTTGAAGTTTGAAGATCGATTTAACATTTTCTTGAAGAAAATACGTATTACTTATGAAGAATGATGAATAATGAGGATGTTGAAAATTTTATTTTCATTCTTGCTATTCTTATTATTCTGTTTTTCTTTACACTAACATTAAATTAACCAGAAAAATTACAATTTATAATTTGAATTATAAAAATCGAATTCTTGCCTACAATTAAAAATAAAATTATTGAAATATTTAGAATATTCTCACGAAATACAATAAAATTTAAATAATAAATACCTTTCAAAATTTATATAATATCTTTATTATGTACTGTCGTTATAAGGTAAAGGATTAATAGAAAAATTCAAGAAAAGTATTGGCCAATCTTTAAGAATTCCTATTTAAGATTTTGAAAACTTTATACACACTCCATTGTGATAATAGAAAATTAATGCTTGCAAAGCTTTTACAGAAGTTCCAATATTCATTGAATCGAAGAAAATTTCTTCGAATCTACGAAGCAATAATGCTCCGGCAAAGAAGTAAAGCAGAACCTTTTATGGGTAGTGACTAGTAGAACCAGTTCCGAGCAGGTGAAGACCCGAAAAGATAAACACGGAAACAAAGTACAATGAATGCTTTGGAGTAACTGTTCTTACGGTCGCTTCTGCTCTCCCACTGCTACGCCCATTCAAATGCCTCTCGTAAATGCATAGATTCTACCGTTTCGTTTACGCTCATTTATAGCTGCGGTTGTGTGATAACTGCGAACAAAATCTACGAACCTATCATAATTAGAAGAAGTTTCATACTTCATACTATCAATTTTCTCATCGCGATTTTTTTGGTAAATTTGAAGAATAATAATAAGAAATTGAATGAGTTTGTCAATTTTTCTTAAACTTGCATATGTATTTCAAACCATAGAAAATCTTTTTAATAAATAACTTAGATTAATATAAGTTACGAAAATAAAACTTAATGATAATATTTAACGACAATATTCAAAGTATTTTTGTAATTCAAAAGATATTAATAATAATCTGCAAGAATCAGAGATATTTAATTGATCATTCAAATTCATTAATTGATCTCTTGTCTGTTTTTCTATCTTGATATAAATCCATGATAAAATTCATTCATATTATCCAGAATTGTTAAATTATTATCAATATCAGATATCAGAAATACAGCAAAGCTCCATTCATTGAAAATTTTAATTAGCATCCTAACCGTTCAATAGAATTCACTTATCTCGACGTAAAATCGTAGTAACTGTATAATTTTCGATTACACCAACTGTTTGTCCCCCAATGGATTTGTTTCCATTGTTTCAATCTTCTTGATAATAAAAAGTTTATTAAAAAAGAAAAAATTATTATTCAAAAGCAACTACCTTGATTGAAGTCCACCTGGCCAAAGGAAGCACTCCTGAACGGTGCACCGGCTCTATGAAACGTAAGCAGAGGTCCTCTGGGCTCCAATCTGGTGATTGCATCCCTGGCTTCACCCTCGTTCCCTTGACCGGAGGCGGTGTTCAAATTATCACACAAATCGTCCACACACGTACCACTATCCACCACCGAATCACTGTACTGTCTCAGGTGTTTCGCCGTGTCTGCACTGGCGTTCAGCTCGTTTTTTATGTCACTTACGTCACCACTGTTCCTATCATATTGCCTGAGCGACCGCGATCTCCTCGAGTCGGTGCACGTCTTCCTGTATGCATCGTTACTCGACTCACTGTAACACTCGTCACCGACACTGTCACTCCGGTTGAACGTCTTCGGCTGGTTGTGTTGCAATGGATATTGAGGATGTTGCTGGTTGCCCGAACCATGCCCGGTTCCCTCGCTGTACGTGTAACTTCGACAGGAAGGACGACCGTCGCAGCGACCGCATCCTTGATTCGTTGTCTAATTGAAAAATTATATTGATATTTTCAAATTACACGTTAAATGTTCTCTTTGAATTTCTCTGCGAATTAATATAATCGTTTTTCTAGCTCCTTTTGTAGTTGATATCCCGATATTGATCTTTTAGAGTATCAAGTTTTATAAGAAATAAACGAAGGCAGAAAATGTAGTATTTAATAATCTTAAAATTATCTATATATTTGTAAATCTTGAGATAAAATTTTTGCTCGTTTTCCATGAAGAAAGAACACGAGATTAATGTAATATTTCAGGGAAAAAATGCGATTTATATCTGCAAAGTTTGTGCGCACGAGTTTACGACTGCCATTTGGCACATATCAGCTAGCAAAGTTTTTCTTCAATTATCATGTTTCCGGAGTAAAATTAGAAATATCAAATCGGGGATTTCACTTCTTCGCGATTCTTAAAAATCCGCTGACGATCTATAAAAATCTTTGCAATTGGGAAACAAATTTTTGTATATGTTCGCTATATAAAAAAAGAAAAAAAGAAAGTCTTTACCTGAGGACAATTTTGAGAGGGTGATTGGTATCCACTCGGGGGTGGAGAGGATGCTTGAGTCCGCGAAGGTCTTCTGGGTGGTGGTACGGGGGCTGGTCCCTTGAGTTTCTCGGTGAGCTCTCGAAGGCGCTCGGCCTTTTCGCTCCGGGGGCCGGAAGAGGACTTTTTGCTACTTCCTCCTCCGCCCCCGCTCCATCGGAACCTGTGCAATCGGTCCACTGCTATCACTGCTGGTTCCTGCATAGATAAATCATCATAATTACAATTATTAAATTTACAAAACCTACTTCCTCTCAATATTCAAAAGATCGTATTCAAAATTATTTTTATAATTAATCTGAACTTTTCGAATACGATTTTTTGAATGTTCAGATTTCTGATCTTTCTCACGAGGTTTTTAAAGATCGTGCACTTGCGACGATCCAATTTTTGGATCGACCGTGCTGCGCAGCGTGCGTTGCCTCGTGCCTGCCGCGAGGGAAAAGACAGATGACGACCAAAATAGAATATCGTTCTTCGACTAGACACCTACGTATCGCACATACGAGTTTCCGATTCTCTAGGCCCGTCACTTTCCAAATCGATCCTAATTTTCCCTCTTTATCCTCGTTGGAATTCGGTCGAGACAAATTAACAGGTTGAACCGAGTTAACAGGTGAACCAGATTCAACAAAGACCAAGTTCTTGTCATTCGAAAATTAATCTGGCTTAAGCCAAGATTATCCGTGGTATCCGAGAATCGTCGAATTAATTTCCCTCGATCTCATATATCGTTCTCACTCCCTGACAGTTACAGGCCGACAGAAGAAGGAGATACACGTTGAACGGATATAGATAAAAGAAAAATGGAAGGAAATAAATAATAATCAATCCTCGCAATAGAGAGAGAGAGAGAGAGAGAGAGAGAGAGAGAGAGAGAGAGAGACCTTCCTCTCCCCATCTCCAGCCATTAAAAATACTACATCTCTACCACTTGTAACCCACCTCTCGAGCTTTGACACAAAGCGTCCTCCCAGGTCGAAGACACTTCGTCCCAAATTCCTACGAACCAGCTCACTCTTACGAAATCACAACAGTTTTTCTACAGCCTCCGAACCGCGTTCCTTGGATCCTCCAAAAATATCTTCCAAAAACCAACCACGAAATCTTCCATCACAGGTTTAATACACTCATCCTATCCACTAGATAGATCTAATCAATCTAATCAACAATTTCTCCCTTTATTCTATCCATACATACAATAGAAACACGAATCCAAAAAGAATGAAAAACGAGCAAAGGAAATCAAAACCGATAATTGATCTTCGATCATCTAATTTAACAAGATGTAGAAAAAAAAAGTTTCGCTAAATACCTGCAGCTTCAGCGTCTGATGCTTGGTCCACTGTGCTAGCTGTCGCGGTACCGAGACGGACTGCAGCGTCGGGACGGCGGTGGACGTGTTGAACGACGTGGAGGTGGATACCGACGGTACCGCCGCCGTTAGAGCCGCAGACGATTGTGCCTGATGGTGCTGTTGGCCAGTGCTGTTCCCCACCGACATTTGCAGCATCCCTCGGTTATTATTAGAGTTCACCAACGTCGGTTGCGCCGACGTCGTCGTTGGCGTCGTCAGCGTCGCCGGCTGTTCCACGCCGGCAACACGGCTGTTCGAAGACGTGGGAGGCCCAGGAAAAGGAGACTGTCCACAGCTAACTCCTCCACCGCCACCTCCAACTCCACCTACACCACCTCCGCCTGTTACGCACGGCGAGGACGAAGCAGCGATCGTCGTCGACGGCGGGACTCTCGGCAACGGCAGACGCGAACGTGGACCGATGCAACAGCAGTCCGCGATGCTCGTGCTCAGCTCGAGACCCGCTGAGTTCTCTGGACACCGATCGGTCAGTCTCTCGCGAGAGTCGCTCTCCCTGGAACTCCTCTTTCGACGCCTCTCCTGCGATTCTTCCCGCGAGTTCAATGGCGGCAGATTTTCCTGGAATTCAGAAATCGAGATCGATCGTTTTTTTTTTCTTTTCCTTTTTTCTGGATTTTATTCTAAATGAGCGATTTAGAGTGCGTGAAATCGTATTGGAACTATTTTAATATTTGTTGAGTGTTGTAAAATGTAAAATTAAAAGTAGATACTGTGAAAGATTTTTTTGGAATCTTTAAAAGAAAGTTTAATGGTAAATTTTTTTGAAACAGATCATATTTTTTTTGGGGTTTTTTGTTTTGTGAATTTGAATTTTTGTTCTGGATGATTTGGATATGATTTTTGAGATTTTACTGAAAGGATTGGAATTTGTAGAAATTTGAGAACGAATATGAAACGTATAGGTACTGTAATCTAAGAGTTTAATGACGACAGACTTTCTTGGAAGGGAACGATTATTAACGTTTCGATTTCTTTCGTTGAAAAATTTCTTTTGTCACTACTTTTTATAGAAGTGATTAAATTATTCTTAGATTTGTTAAGATTTATCACCTTCTTATAAGTATTTACAAGAATTATATTCCACGTTTGATTAAAATTTAATTGAATAGAATTCGAAAGAATTCACTGATTAAGTTTCAAGATGAAAAGACAATTCATATGTTAGTTTTATAACAAACATATGTAAACTTCGAAAATAGATTCCATAAAACTGCTGAATCTTTACATTGTCATATTACGTGTATTTTATAATCAGCAAGAAAGCAGCTACGCATATGTTTCATTAATGTGTATGAAATTTCCTTCACAATTAAATAATTCAAAATTTTATTCTTCAAGTATTTTCAAAAATATTAAAAACAATAAATAAAATTAATAATGGTAATAATTATAACGTTTAAACTTCGAAACATTTTATTTCAAACTTTACGTTTCAATATATAAGTAGAAAGAAATAATCTATGATGGTATTCGAAAGAAGACTTTAGGAAAGTCTTATCTTTAATTTGTAACGCACTATGAAAAATGGCGGCCTCTTGCGCATATAGACTAGAGCACTCCTTATACTCCTTTGTTTAATGCAGCACGAAAGCAGTGGAACAAATGGGACCGTAAAGCCTATGAAGTGGCTTCGTATATATATAAAGAGATTCAAAGACTGCTTCTTGTGATACCCTGTAAAACGAAACGTAGGAAGTAGAACCTGCTTATACAAGGTAATTTCACTTTGCCCATACGTACGAGGGAACGCCTAATTTAAATAATTTTTTCCCCTATAGATCACATTTTAACCTAGTTGGAAATGTTATGGTAAACGATCCCACGATTAAAGTGAAAAACAACATACGAAATTTATATTTTAATTATCCTAATTTTCCTTCAAACTTAACTTCGTTTATTTTCCATAGTTAAATTATCCTCCAACAAAATTGACATTCAACTACTGAACGAGACTTCGAAGAATAGATTTCTTGCATCGAGATATTTCAAAGTCTCTCTGAAATGTCACAGTCACTTCGTGATGATTATTCGCGTCATTTCACGCGGTTCAACTGATACACGTGCAAGAACGATTGCGGTAAAGAGGATAAGGGAGGTAGACAATGGCGTCGAGGCAAGGTGACGTTGTTTCTTCCCACGAACGAGCCCGGAGATAAACTCCTCTGAAATAGATCTCTGACTCTTGTGTGTATGCAACACGATGTACGGAAAGTATATATGCTGGAAAGTAGAACCCATCTAATCTCCTTTCTGGAAATCCTCCCGAGATACCGAGATACGTTCCGAAATGTCTGCTTCGATCTTTATTTTGACATTTTACGCTGCACGACTAAGAACGTGATACAGCGTAAAGATATTAAAAAGAAAGATAACGAACTACATATCGGAGGATCCATATTAAGCAATAATTCCGTAATAGAAATTTATTATATACAATAATACCGATATTTATACCAAAATATACGTATACAATGTAATAGGAAAAATTATTCGAATATGTCAGATTGAATTCGATATTTTCATTTCAAAAGTGAATATGAATTTAATTGTATGCAATATTTAAGGAATTTTGGGTTGTAAGTACTCTAATTTCATCTTTTTGTTTTGTTCTTTCTTTCAAGATATTGAAAAAAGTTATGAATTACAATTTGATATATTATGATATGAATTACAATTTGAAATATTTTTTATTTAAAGTATAAAAATATTAAAAAATTCATAAAATAGAATATATTTTATACTTTTATAGTTGTTATATTATAACCAGAATTTCTATTTTTAACAATATACTTTAGATTTGAGAATATCATTTATGATTTCAAGCATATATTATTATATTTCAAATTGTTAAAAAAAAAAAAAAAACATTCTCATTCTTCAAAATTCATAATACTAGAACTAATTAATTGTACGAAAAAAGAGAAATCGTCGAAGCTTATAAATCAAACGAACCAGGAACTTAAAAGTTTAATACCTCAAAAAGTATCCTCCGTACTTTTCACTATATAACTATACTAATTACTCAAAAAAAAAGAAAAAAAAAAAAAGAAAGAATCAAAGAAGAATTCTCGGAACTCGCTGCAAAGAAACGTAAAAATTTTACATCACAAAAAGTTAAGATCGGTTCTCAATCGTACTCGCGATGATCTATCGATGATCGAAGGACTTGGCAGACTCGTGTCAAGATTTTCATGTCGCTACGTGTGCTCGTATGATGTCAACGTGGAATATTATTCCGTTCTGACGAGGACAGTCAGCGCGAAGAAATAGGAAGAGGAAGAAAGAAGGAATAAGAAAAAAGGGGGATGGCTCGGATTCGAGTCACTGACTGGCGGCATTCTATTTGCGCGATCGCCTCTATATTTAGGATTTCCTACGTCTTCATTTTGCTCGCGTGAACAACGTTTCTTCTCTGTCGCGAATCCGTCGAAGGTCGTCACCGACGGCCAACGGAATTTGGATTCTTATTTGGCTGGACGCTGCGTCGGTCTCCTCGCGGGTTCCGCGTTAACCAATATAAAATCACGCTGGCAGCGGTACCGTGAAATTTCAAAAACTTTACATATCCTCCCCTTCGTGCCCCTCGATGACGCAGATCGAACAACAACATTTTCGACCGTGTTTGAACGACGCGAGCAATGAGGATTCGTAATAATGCCAGTATCGTGAAGTCTTAGATAATGTAAGTCTTGGATAATGAAAAATAATTGCACAAGTCATTCTATTATAATTATAAGGACCCTCGTTTATTTTGTTGTCGAATATTGTTCGATGTATCTTTGTGTGTATTTATAATTTTCTAAATTTATCAGGAAAAAATTGCGTAAAAATTTTGGAATCTATATACGGATATTTGGATATTTTGTAAAAATGTTAAAATATTCTGTAAATTTTTGCATATTTATAAATGAATAAACATCCGTGATACTAATAATAACAATTTACAAGCTCGTAAATTTTTTCACAGCGTATTCCAAACAAAATAGCTAAGTATACATTAATCTTTTCATCACGAAATAAATATGATAGTTCTAAACTTCCTGCTCCTCAAGTTGATGCTTAATTAACTTTAAAATTTCACGAATAATCTATATATTATGAAAATCAATTTGTAGCAGCAAATCGTTTAACTTTATCATACGAGATAAAATATTTTATTCATTAATATAGAATTTGTTGAAGAACGTAAAAGAATTAAAATCCAAATTCTCAATTTATGTATTTTAATTCCAAGAGATCTTCTTAAATCGAAGAATTTTCAACGATTATTTATTTCAAATACATCGCAATATTCTAATATATTTTCTTTATTACGAATTTGAAAAAAAAAGTTATGAAACGCGAGTGAATCTTGAAAAAAATTTAAAATAAATGGATAAACTATTAGAAGAAGGATTAAAAACGAAAGCTTTTTACCTGAGAAAGTCTGAGACCGTATCTGGTACCACCTAGAACCACGTATCCACCTCCGACACTTCCTCCTGTCATGGCTCTTGCTGCACCCCCAAGCCATCCTCCGAATCCACTTCCTCCTGCCTTCTCCGCTCCGCCACCCCCGTCTCCACCGACGCGGGGCATTCTTCATCCTCCCTTCACCCTGTACAAAAACGCCAGACAAATTACATTTTATTCTTCGCAAAGAATTCCATTTAACGTAGTAATTTTATTCTTTTTTTTTTTTTTTTCGTTAGATTAACAATCAAAGTCTTCATTATTTTAATAAAGAGTTTACGCTGGCAATGATCTTATTATGGTGCTTTTCCATCATGCTTTATGAACTCACGGACCACATAATGACGTAAGATAAACCTAAATTGTGTTTTGAGTAAATACACGGGCACGACTTTAACGTTTGATTCGACAGAAGAAACGAGCATAAATTTCGCGGCAACGCTCGACGTTTGACATGTATTTTTCTTTCTTTTTTCTTTTTTTTCTTTCCGTTTTTTTTTTTCTTTTATATATATGTCGATTAGAAATACGTACTCTATATTACAAAAATTTAAATTAAATTACTTTTTTATATTTAGCAAGGTACACACAGATACATAAATTTTAAATAATTATATGTTTCATCGATAATAACATCAGAAAATTTCACAAATCATTCATTTTCATCTCTTTCAATTGGCGGAGAAACGATTAAGCAGAACATGATTTCATTAAATGTATCAAATAAGTATTTCAACTCCTTATCGCTCTCTTCAAGCTTCACCATTATAAATTAACCACCATAGAACGAGACACGAGCAGTTTCGATAATATCGCGACTTAATGTTCATTTTATTCACAAATCAAACGTAATCAACTCGTAAACTTTTCTTCTCACGCAGATTGCAGTTGATTTACAGAATTATTCCGAAGATTTCACTGTGTGCATGCGCGCATACGACTTCCAGCAACTTTAATGGAACTTTCTCGCGAATTCACGGGAATTTCATTCAGTCAACGACGACGCGGCGTAAATAAATAAAATCGTTCTCCACAGTTATCAGGGAATGCGCAAACGTTCGCAGGAATTCAAGAAGCGGTGGTCGTGCGTGAGTGCGTGCGTGAGTGCGTACGCGGGTGCATGAATTCGCATAAGCGTATGTTATTTAATCAGATCTGTTTTCTGATTTAAGGAAAATTTAAGGAATATATGCCAGTTAATGAAATAATTCGATTTCTAAACTCGTATCAATATTTCTGAACTCGAAGATTCATTTTTTTAAAATAAGGTTTTAAAATGGCGATTAAAATGGTATTAAATTAATATTATGTTTTATTCTATTGTATAATAAGTATTTAATCGCATGAAGAAGGAATTTTCTAAATTTTAATTATATTCCAGGTATAATTTGCATAATAATGATTTCTATTTCATTTATAAAATTAACAATATAATTATGAAGTTAATCTATGTTTAGCCTTATATACGATTAATGTCAATCGGAAACTGACGTCATTATACCGTTACATCCGATTTAGGCAACACCGACAATTTCTGTACGAAAAAGGGAAGCATTTAACTTTACCAGAAATGGAAGCAATATTTATAACTGTAAAGACACATTGGAAGAAATATATACGTATGCTCTTTATCATTTTATAACTTTATCATAATAGGAAAGGAATATTTTAAATACTTGTCCTAAAAGCGAATGGAATTTTTCGTAATGATAATAATACATGTGGCCTCCCATAAATTATCCAACTATGAATTTATTATGATAATATTCGTTAAAACGAGTATTATAATTTGAACGAATAAATTAATCACGGGAGATTGAAAATTGCTAGTAGTTAATACATCAATGAACATATGAATAAATTGGAAATTCCAGATGTCCAACGGTTCTAATTTTGTAGTATTTACTTTGATACAATTTCAATTTATATTTATTCGTGAAATACGTAAGGATAATAATTGAAAATAATTTATTTTTATCATTGTGTTTTTTAATATGCATACTATTGATATGCAATAGATATTTTGTTTCTAATAATAACTTTAATATTTTATATAAATCGTAAATTTTAATATTTTACATTTGTTCATTCGCAATAGATGCAACGTTATTAAAAGTTATTATTAAAACAAATTAGCAAATTCTAATTTTCGAGCAAATATGATAAACGAATATACGTATAAAAGAATTTCAGTGCTGCATAATCATCGAAAAGCTGGCTCCCATCTAAACAGTATCACGGTGGAAGCTTTATGGTTGCAAATATTGGACGTTTATAAATACCTGTGTATGTCTTTTCTATTTCCGAATACTGAAGGCTAACTATATCAAAATGGTTCGCGCATCTTCTCAGTAAAGGGGCATTAAGAATCCATCATCAAACGCCAAATAATAATAGGGATAATAAATTCTCTCCATCCAATAGACTCTTCTCCATTGAAAACATCGTTCACGTACAAAGAAACGAGACACATTGTTTTTCGAACATTGAATTACGACGTTTTATTATCGCGAAAAAGCGATGATCGCATCGTTTCGCTTGCTTTATTCTATCGCGAATATATTACAGGTACAGTAATTTACGAAAGTATTGTATACAACTGTAAATAAAAATATTAACGATGGAAATAGATACAATGGAAATTTTGTTGAAAAGATGAAATGGATTCTTTTTTTATTTTTCCAATATAACTTTGCAATGACACGATATAAAGCAAAACTTTAAAAATAAAAAACTGTAAAAATATTTTCATTAAAAAATATAACTACTTAACGTGAAAAAATTCTAAAAGTTCGAAGATTTCATTTCATCAAATATATTTTGTTATCTCTTTTTATAATCGATTGTATTCTAATTATACAATTAAAACTAGAATTTTCAATTAAATGAATTTCCCTATAAAATATTCTTCGAATACTTTTGCGATTTACTGTAC